AGTTATATAGGATGAATCAGCTTAGAGATCCAATGTACAGCATGAGGACTATAGTTAATAATATGTTGTACCTGGAAATTTTCTTAAAAGAGTGCATTTCAAGAGATCTTAACCCCATGTATGTATATATTTAAATATATATATATATATATATATATATATATAATTAACATATATATTATATCCATTCTGCTGTATACATATTTCAAAACATCATGGTGCATACCATATGCATTTATAAATACATATCCTACTTTATGTGTTTATTAAAATTAAAAAGATAAATATGGGAGATGATGAATATGTTGATTGGCCTTCCTATGGCAATCATTTCATTTTATATATATATATAGTGTTTTGATGGAAAGCCCAGCTCAGGTCCCAGCCAATAACCCGAATCACCTGTCAGACACTTGCTTGATTGTGCCTCCAGATCATTCCAGCCTGAGCCAGCAAGTAACACCCTCTCTTCAGTTCTTCCCAGCTGAGGCCCCACATACTATGGACCAGAGACTGTGTCTTTTCTGAATTCCTGACCCACAGAACGTGTGAGCTTTATAAAATGGTTGTTCAGTGATATGAAGTCTTGGGTCAGTGTGTTACACAGCTATAGTAACTGGAACCGTCATTAAGGGGACTGTCACATTTGGCACACTGATTAGGGTGTTAGTCCCTTAGGCTGGGTTCAGTTAACTCCCATGATAACCTCATGAGCAAGGTGCTATCCCTCTTCTTCATGGGTCCAAGGAAACAGGTCCTCAGGGAACTTCAGCCCTTGCTAGAGGACCCAGTGTGCCAGGGGAGAGCTGGTAGCAAAGTCAGGTCAGTCTGTGCTTGATGACCTTGGGTCCAGTCCCACCTTCTACCAAACTAGCCCAGTGCCTGCCCCATGGATTGCCTCAGAGGAGAGGGGAGACCTGCACAATCCCAGATGGCAGTGAGTGTGTTCTCTAAAGGGTTGGAATCTGTGGCCTTTCTCTCCACCAGCACGTGATTGCGAGAGGCCAATTCCATGCTGTGCTATCTCAGAAGCCAAGATAACTAGGGCCACTGAGGCTTTCCAAGTACCCCTTTTCCAGGGACTTCTGTGGCTCCCCCTCTGGTCCTTTCACAGTCTCCCTCCCATGGGCAAGGCAGGAAATTGGGCAATTAGTCCATGCTGGCTTCCTCCCTAAGCAGAAGCATGTGGCATTCTCCCCAGGGTATTAATCTTGTTGGTAAATGAGGATCTTCTTGCCATTTTCCTGCTGTTCCATAACAGATGTGCAATAAAGACCTTAGGGCAGGAGGATCCTTGGATTCTGGTCTTTGTGAACAGAAAGTGAGGGCTCAGGAAGTCACCTTGATCAGCAGGTTTCTGAGCTCACCAAAGACTGTTGCAGGTCAGAGGAAGAAGGAGAATCATCACTTGGAACTGGATGGGTATGTGTTTGTGAGCATATGTATGTGTGTGTGAATTTTTGTTTTGTTTGTATAATACAGTATATTTATAGGTAACTGACTTACACTCCTACTCTTTTCACATAGGAAGGGTATAGATAGAGATATAAATAATCTCTTTTCAGTGAGGTATGTGTATGAGTGGTGCTTGTATGTTGTTTGTGTGTTGTATTTGATGACATGGTTGCACACATGTACATAGTATGTGCTTTTTATTTATTTATTTTTAAATAAATATCTTTATTTTACATTTTTGTGGTGCTGAGGATCGGACCCAGTGCCTCATGCATGCTAGGTGAGCACTCTACCACTGAGCCACATCCCCAGCCCCCTGTATGTGCTTTTTATGTGAATGACTCGGTGTGATATTCATGTGCTGTGTTGTGTGGAGCAGTGTTTTATTTATTAGTTGTGTGCAAATTTGTGTGAAAATGTGACTTTTTATTTAGAATGAGTAGGTTAGAGTGATCTATGATTCTCTGTGTGTGTAACAACATGCATGTTTTTACATATAACACACACACACAGTATTTAATCTGGAATAGATGAAAAGAGAAAATAAAAATTATGACCTGGCAATGTGTGTGTGCACGTCCATGTGTTTGAATGTAGGATAAATTTCCTTTTCACATCTCATCTCTTATTTCTAACAAAACAGGCAGCTCCCAGCAAGACCCTTCTGAAGGTAAGTGGGCAGTATTTCCCTGTGTGACTTGAAGAGCTCAGTGTACTGTGTGGGCTCTTTTCTTCACTGGCCATCAACAATGCCATATTCCACTACTGGGAATGCCATAGTGATCAAGGGCTTGTATGCTGATTGAACTTGGATCTGACCTCTGTGAAGCTCATCAGACTGAAATTTAGTTGAGACTAAAGATCTAAATCAACACGTGGCATATTGTAAGCATGCAATAAATGGGAATGTGATCATTGCTCAATGCGTGAGCTTTCCAATTTGTTAGTTTTGGGCTGTCCAAGGGAGAGTATTTTGTGCAAGGATATAGGACACAGGCTCATATAAAGTCACTGTATTAGGACTGGGGTGAAACTCAGTGGTTAAATACTTGTCTAAGGCTGGGACTCAATCTTCAATACTGCACAAACAAACAAACAATAAAAAACAACTCCCCAAAAAACCTTGGTCAAATTCTTCCTGACAGCTTCTACTCTTTGTTCATGAGGCTGTGTCCAGCTGTCATTTTCACACAGTGTGGCTTGAATCAAGTTTATCTTTTTGCTGATCCAGCCGTTGAACTTGAGGATTTAGTCGACATTTAACTTTTGGATTTTCTTCCAGAGATGCCTGAGTTCCAAGGAGAAGTCTGGTCCAGTGAACAGCGGTGGGTAGTCAGGTCCCCGTCAGAGGTTTGTCACTTCTTCCTTCTGGACCTTCCCATTGATTGAGGAGCCTGAGCTCCTCTCTACTCTTTGAAGAAACTCTTCTGTCAGGTGCTGGTGCCTTGGAGTGATGGTCTCCCCTGGATATTGGACATCTTCGTAGGACACTGTGGTGTCACCTTTGGGCATTCCTGTTTCCTTGTCCAGGTGATGTGGATCATGGGTTGCCCAGTTCTCTTGTTCATCTTAACAACCCCACATTGCTTAAAGAAGTCTGCCAGATCATCAAGAGTCACATTGTCATTTAAACCTTGCACATAAACTGCACTGTTGTCAGAGTCTTCATCAGGATCTACTGGGGGGGCCTTGATCAAGATCTGGTCCTTCATTCATGGGTCCACCAGTGTTATTGAAGCCGCCTCATTCTTCAGTACTGCCCATTCCACCCCATCCACCTCCCTGCCCACCTCTGCTCATGCCTCCATGATCAAATCCTCCTCTTCTCCTGCCCCGGTTACCAGGGCCATTGAGTATGCCTTTGAAGTGTGATTCATACCTCTGTTTTCACATGAAACATGGAACAGGAAAAAATGGAATGTCTGCTTCATAAGCACTCAGTAAATGTTTGCTGATAATGGAATTAAATGCATAAAGAGCCCTTTGCAAATTTTAATGTCTGATATAAGCAAGAGGCTGTACACTCTGATTTGCCCAGGAAAGCTTTGGTGTGGACCCGTTTTACTGGAACAATTATTTTACAGCTTCTTTTCCACTCTTAAATGTGTCCAGATTTCAAAGCACCTAATATGATGTAGTGTCATCATATGTGTGAGTGCTGGCAGATAATCAAGCAGGTGGCTTGGAGTAGCTTTGAACCCCTGGGAAGCAATTCCTAACAGTGTCCAGGATTTTATAATAAAATGAATGAGGATGAAGACCCAGTGGAGTAGGGGATCTGAGAACACTGGCAAAGATTGGAACTGTGACTATATTCATTATAACCTTGGTGACTTTGAATCTATTACTTAACTATCCTGAGATTTAGTTTCTTGGTACCTAAATTTAACAGTTTAAAGTTATTAATACCTTTCTCCTCATAAGAGCTTGTCAATTATTATCAATGCTAGGTAAATATTAGGAATTGGTCAGAATTAGATAACTATAAATTTTAGGTAAACAGATATCCCAATGCCAGAACATCGGGGAATTTTTAGGTCTCTGAAATTGGATGGGGCAAATTTTCACGTGTCTCTCTGTGCGTCCTCATATTGCAGAGAGAGACAGAGGAAGAGAGAGAAAAGAGAGGACAAGAGAGAAGAGTTGGGTGAGGAACAAACAATGTTTCTAATGTTACTGAATTAAGGAATTGATCCCCAGGGTTCAGGATCTGGGCCCCTGCAGATTCTCAGGGTGTGAAATTTCCTAGATGTAAACCTTTGTTCCCCTAGGCCTGTAACTGCCTGATCAAATGCCAACATCACTTTTCTCTTCTATTGAGTTCCTGCAGCTTGATATCAGAATTATCTGTTGGACTCATACTGCCAGGGCAGCTGGCTGGCACTGGTGCATGTTTCGGTGTGTGGGGTCTGATCTAAGCTTACTACATATATCAACTTGTTTATTTCCTCCAGGACCCCATGACCAGGTAATAATAATATTATCATGTCATAGAAGAGGGGCGTAGGTCCACACTGAGACAGCTGCCAAGGCCACTCAGGTGAGGAACTGCTGAGTTAGAGATCCACCTCGAGTCTCCTGGCCTGCTCAGCTATCTGTAAAATGCTTATAATGTGTGGGCTACAAGAGGGAAGAGACTTAGGGAATCTAATTTTCTGTGAGATTCCCAGTTCTAAAAATAGTGTGTGGGATGTGGTTGAGTAAGTGAATAAATTTACACTGTCTCCCTTGAAGGAAACCTTGTTTGCATTGAAAATCTGATGACCTGTTTCCAGAATGAGGCAGACTGGAGAGTCAGACAGCAAAGTGTGAAGTTTTCCTGAATTTTAATACAGTCCCCGGAGAAAATAGCATGTGGCTATGATGTACATCTGGTGAGGAAAACCACCACATCTCATCTCTCACACAGCCTACTCACTTTTCTCCTTCTGTCCCCAAGAAAGAGAAAAACACCATGAACCAAAGCAGTTGTGTCCGAGTTCCTCCTCCTGGGGCTCCCCATCTGGCCAGAGCAGTGGGGCATCTTCTTCACCCTGTTCCTGGGCATGTACCTGACCACGGTGCTGGGGAACCTGCTCATCATCCTGCTCATCAGGCTGGACTCTCGCCTCCACACCCCCATGTACTTCTTCCTCAGTCACTTGGCCTTTTCTGATGTCTCTTTATCATCTGTCACTGTCCCTAAGATGCTCAGGAATATGAAGACTCAGCACTTATCCATCCTCTATGAGGGATGCATTTCTCAGATGTATTTTTTCTTACTTTTTGTATGTGTTGACAATTTTCTTCTTACAGTGATGGCCTATGACAGGTATGTGGCCATTTGCCACCCAATCCACTACTCTATCATCAAGAGGAAGGAGCCGTGTGTCTTACTGGCAGCTGGGTCCTGGTTCTTCTCTTGTGTACATGCCCTCTTGCATACCCTCCTCCTGTCCCACCTGTCCTTCTGTGCTGACAACACCATCCCCCACTACTTCTGTGAACTCACTGAACTCCTGAAGCTGACCTGCTCAGATACCTCCCTCAATGAGCTAGTTATCCTCGCTGAGGGGGAAGTGTTAACTCTCCTGCCTTTGAGTGCTATTTTGGGCTCTTATGTCTGCATTGGGGCCACTGTTCTAAGGGTCCCCTCCACTAAGAAGATCCGCAAAGTTCTGTCCACCTGTGGCTCTCACCTCTTCTTGGTGTTTTTGTACTATGGGACCCTTGCAATTATTTATTTCTTTCCTTCCTCAAACAATTCCCAAGTCAAGGATGTCATTGCTTCAGTTATGTATACAGTGGTGACACCTATGTTGAATCCCTTGTCTATAGCCTGAGGAATAAAGATATGCAATTGGCTCTGAGGATACTCTATAGAAAAGGGGTTACAGTTACCAAGTGATGTTTATGTACTCATGTTCTTAATTCTCCTAGAGATGCTTCTTGAGATAATTCCTTGAAAATTTGTGCAGGTGGCTGTAGTAGACTGCAAAAGTGGTCACAGTACTTTGCATCCCTTCCTTTTCTTTGTGGAATTTATTTCCCTACCTTTTGAATCTGAGCAGATCTTGTGACTTAATGTGACTGTAGCTTTGTAGTAATGATGCTATAATATTTCCAAGGTGAGGCAGAGTTTATTCCTGCTGCTCTTGGAACCAGAGACCACCAGCTAAGCCATCCTATGCTAGGCTGCACAGAGATGAGAGGGCACTTGGAGAACAAAGGTGCCCCTGCTAACAGCCAGCTTCCAGGTGACCTGGTCAGTGTCTGTGGGGGCATGAATGAGTCCCTGTTGAGATCAGCTGAACCTAGCCAAGACCAGATGCACTTTCTGGCTGAGCCCAGCCCAGGCTAAATTTCCATCTCATAGAATCATCATACCAACAAATGGTTAAAGTACTGAATCTTAGGATTATTAAGCACAAAGGCCAACTGATACAATTATTGCTCTTACCACTGGTTTGATCCAAATTTCCCTGATATCAATGGTCCCTCCCCTTTTTGTCACCTACCGGGATTGTGCTCTTTTTCCCATCATCTAGAACTCTCTGTCTTCAAAACACACAGGCTCATAGACACTCCATGATGGTCCTCAAATTCTTAGCTTTAGGCAGATCTCTTGTTCATACCATTCTCTTATAACCCTCACTTCTGTCAAGTGTAAGAGTCATACTTGTAAATATGCTGCCTCATCAATATGAAGAGAGATGAATGACTTATGATGTAAAAATACATGAGCTTCCTATTTTTTATGAAAGATTACATTAGCAATATGTCTCTTCTTAAATACTAATGATCAATAAATATATGAAAAATGTTCAACATCACTAGCAATTATAGAAATGCAAATTAAAACTACACTGAGATTTTTATCTCACTTTAGTCAGAATGGCAATTATGAAGAATACAAGTAACAATAAATGCTGATGAGGATTGCAAATTAGTGCAACCATTCTGGAAAGCAATATGGAGATTCCTCAGAAAACTTGGAATGGAACCACCATTTGACCCAGTTATCCCACTCCTCAGCATATACCCGAAGCACTTAAAATCAGCATACTATAGCAACACTGTTATATCAATGTTCATAATAGCTCAATTCACAATAGTTAAGATATGGAACCAATCTAGGTACCCTTCAACAAATGAGTGGAGCAAGAAAATGTGGTACATAAACACATGCAATATTACTTCACCATAAAGAATAATGAAGATATGGCATTTGAAGGTAAATGGGTGGAGCTGGAGAATATTATGCTCAGTGAAATAAGCCAATCCCCAAAAAACGAAAGCCGAATGTTCTCTCTGACATGTGAATGCTGACTCATAATAGTTGGAGGCAGGGAGGAAGGAAAGTGGGAGGGGCATAAGAAAGACAGTAGAAAGAATTGGACATAACATTCCTGTGTTCATATATGAATACATGACCAGTGTAACTCTACATTGTGTACAACCACAAGAATGGAAAGTTATACTCCAAGTATGTATGATATGTCAAAATACATTCTATTGCTTTGTATAACTAAAAAAACAAATTAAAAAAAGGCTTTTCTTTTTGAAGAGAAGTGATTTTACATAGATTAGATTAATAGTGTGTTATTTTCTTACTCAAGTTACTGATACCAAGTTTAAAAGAATTCTCAATGTGATGTGATACTTTTCTTTATTTAGAATAAAATTTCACAATTTAAAACTTAAATGAAGAGATTGGGAGGGGCACTACTGAGGTTTATTTCTTTATCTGATGGACAGCTTCATAGGTGTGTTTCTTTTGAGATTATTCACCAAATCGTGCATTTAGCGTATTGTTGATACTCTCTATTTAGTGTTGTTAATGGAAGTATGTTGTACTTCCATTAACAAGTATTTATTACTAATAAGACATCATTTGAATCCATCTTTGAGTTACCCATGTTACTCTCCTGTCTCCTCTTAGGAGGACATGACTATTTTGTATTTGGTGTTAAAGATTCTGGTGGTTTGGTTTTTGCCCAGGGCCCCATCCTTGTGATTCATTTAATATTAATGTATTAGAGATCTCATTTCTGAATACAGACAACAGTGAGTTAGGACTTCAATGTATATATTTTCTTGAGGAAGTGCCAGACACAGACGTTCAGTTAAGAAATGCATAGGCATATAATTCTTTATTTCTGTGTTTTGCTATATTATTGGAGTCTTGTTTTTTCTTTTGATATTATATATTTTTTATTTATCTATTTTGTGGCATAAAATTTCTACAATATTCTTTATGTAAAAATATCAAGACTTCTTAGAACTTTCAGCAACTTACTGAGACCCTTTCTCAAAATAAAATATAAAAAGGACTGGGGATGATGCTCAGTGTTAAAGCGCCCTTGGGTTCAATCCCTGATATGAAAGCAAACAAAACCAAACAAAACCCCCAACCAACCAAACAAACCCAAAACACCATAACTTGCTGAAATAATTTTCCATTTTTCTGCTATCACAATGTTGTTATGAAACTTCTTATTTATGTCTCCAGTAGAACATATACAAGTCATCTTTTGGCCTTAAATCTTACACTGGAATTGTGGTTCAATTTCAACTAAACATAATGTCACAATATTTCTATATTGCAAGTGACTAAGATTTCAGACACAGCATCATCAGCAAAGAACACTCTCAAATTATTTTTTCAATCTCTTGATATAAATCGATGTTTTGAGGTTTTAGTTACTCTCTGCTTGTTCCTGAGGTTGACCATCTTACCATCTTCTTATGTGGTTATTAGCTCATTTGAGGTTCTTTTGTCTGAAAGCCTTGTTAATCTTATTTGCCTGCTTTTCAGCCTCTCTGTATGGATACATGGATCTAATTTACTATTAAATAATAAAGGGGCAAGATATGAATGGGAATGAGAAAGATGGGATAAACGTTGTGTGGAAGATGATAGAGATGAAGGTCCTCTAGGTATCCAGATCTGGGGAAGTAGTAATGTCAGTTGTTAATTGAAAGAGACATGTTTTCTCATATTGTTTCATCAGTTGAGGAATCTTGGGGGCGGTCATTGACATTTTTTAACTCCATGAATGCAGGGATGGGGGAAGTGACAATGAAGTTCTGGCTTGAGAAGGTAGGATCTGTCAATCCTTGATTTGTAGGAAACAGGCAGGTCCTCTGCAGCACTATCATCAAGGAAACAGATGGTTAACCATGACCCATCGGACCCAGAATCATTCGGGAGGTCTAAACTTATTGTAGGATTTCTTCACTCAATAGCAGCTTCATGTACAGGTTGATTTTTAATTGAACCAATTAATAACATTGATAAATATTCACAGATCTTCACCTTGAATAATTGAGCACATGATATTCATTGACTACCAGGTATTGAAGAAAGGGAGATGAAGATGTATGCAATGGATTTGGCATCATTTTTTTAAAGGGGTTTAGTGGAAATCATACTTTGAATGGTTATTTCGTGATTTTGTGAATAACTTGCATCAGCAGATGCTGACAGCTCAGCTTTTAGGCAAAAGACTAAAATTTATAGAAACTGTGTCGCATTCTCTGGGTCCAGGAATGACGACCAGTTATAAACTCTTGACTCTCTTGTGATGGGATTAGAATGTTTCTAGTGTTCTTGATTTAGCCTGGGGTCAGAAGCAAAAAAATGTTGTTATCAAACTCAAGTTCAAGCTTGGTTTCTTATGGATTCTGAGTCACATTATTGCAATGTAAACAGAAGGCAAGAAGCTTTGTGGATCATCAAGTTCCTAATAGTTATTATCATTATTCCTTCAAGGGTGAATTCTCCTATGCCTGCTTCAACAAATAGCTCTTCTCCCAAGGGAGCCAAAGGCAACGAAGCAATTATATCCTGTTTGTCTTTAGTTGACCTGGGGATAGTGTGATTGACCCCCAGGGCATCTCCCTGGTTTGTCAACTTAGAACTCACTGTGACTTCTTGAGAGCTGTGAATAAACATATATTGGTATATCTATCTATCTTGGATGGTTCTTAACTGCTGAGTCTTCTGCCTGTCACAATGGAACTTTGAGACCTACAGAGTTACCATCTGTTTCACGTATTTTGCACCTTCTAGAGAGAAATAGAAGGACCTTCCCAAGGCTTGTAGCTGAAGGTACTTGAGCTTATCATCTAAGGGGCCTTGTTAGAGCAGGAGCAGAAATTACATTAAATATAAGTTTATGTCTGTGTATGTGGTGTGTGCAGTGTGGTACTTCATGCCACACAATATGACAAATAGCTCCATGTAAAATAATTTATCTTGAACTGAGTATCTATCCAATTTTGAGAGAGTTGGATAAACTCAAATTTCCATGTTGAATTATTTTCTCAAACTGATCTAATTTTGAGATGTTAGAAAAATATGCCTCATTTTGTTTATCTTTAATCCATACTAAGTCTTGTTAGCATTTCTTTCAAATTTTAAACCAAATGTTTCTAGTTTTATTCATCTCCACTGCCTTAATCCAGTTGTAAAATGATATTGTTTTGTGTCTAAATTGTTGCCATGACTTCCTAGTCAGATTCTTGCTGACACTCTTACCTTTCTAGTCTGATTCTCTACCCGGAAAACTCAAGGTATTTAAACTTTCAGTCACATGTTTACTGAAGCATTTTCTAGGTTATACTTTGGCTTTGAGAATAGAATTGAAACTTTCCATGTGTCAGAGGCCTGACATACTCGGGCTCCTCAAAAATTCTTCCACTCCATGCCCTTTGCAGGATGATATGCTCTTCAATTTCTCTGATCCTCCAATGCCCTAGCCCCGACCTCTCCAGCAACTTAAGGGGAGTGCTTGTATTTTAATCTTCAGGACAGACTTTTATGTTCAGAACACATAAGAAGCTGAACCTCACAGTGGATTAGACAAAGGGGGATGAAGAAAAGGGAGGGGGATGGGAATAGGAAAGAAAGTAGAATGAACTGGACATCACTTTCCTATGTTCATACGTGAGTACATCACAGTGAAACTCCACATCATGTACAACCACAAGAATGGGATTCTAATTAGAATAAGTTATACTCCCACATATATGTTTATGTATGAATACACTCTGCTGTCATATATATCTAAAAAGAACAAATAAAACATAAAAAATAAACTGGACCTCAGTACTCTAGTCTCTTGTATTGGGACAGTCTGTTAAAATTTATGATCTCAAGTTCGTATCATAAATCCTAGACTTCTCAAGTTGGTGCCTGGTCTCATCTGATGATTCTTCATGTTTCATGGTTTCTTCAAAAGATACTGTGTTGGTTCCTAGGTGAGCAAATAATAAACTTTGTCCAGACCATCCCTAGTGCATTTGTATGGCAAAAAGGCTGAGATATTCAGGTTAAAATGCACGTACATGGTTTGAAACCTTGATTTTATTTTGTAATAGACCCAGTAATTTCTCATTCTTTTCCATTTCCATCTCTTTTTTGTCTCCAGCAAAAGAGAACTTGAAGAGCATGAGGAGGGATAATCAGAGCAGTGTGTCCGAGTTCTTCCTCCTGGGGCTCCCCATCCAGCCAGAGCAGCAAGGCATGTACTACGCCCTGTTCCTGGGCATGTACCTGACCACGGTGCTGGGGAACCTGCTCATCATCCTGCTCATCAGGCTGGACTCTCGCCTGCACACCCCCATGTACTTCTTCCTCAGCCACTTGGCCCTCACCGACATCTCTTTCTCCTCAGTCACGGCCCCAAAGATGCTCATGAACATGCTGACGCAGACTCAATCCATCTCCTATGCTGGATGCCTCTCCCAGTCATTTTTTTTCTTATTGTTTGGGGGTCTTGACAGCTTCCTTCTGACCTCAATGGCCTATGACAGGTATGTGGCCATCTGTCACCCCCTGCACTACACCACCATCATAAGCCAGAGCCTCTGTTTCCTGCTAGTGGTTGTGTCCTGGGTCTTGTCTTCTGCTGGTGCCCTTGTGCACACCCTCCTCCTAGCCCGTCTCTCTTTCCTTAGAGGCAACACCCTTCACCACTTCTTCTGTGACCTCTCTGCCTTAGTGAAGCTGTCCAGCTCTGACACCACCATCAATCAGCTGGTCATCCTCACTGTAGGATTAGCGATTGTTACCCTGCCATTCATATGCATTCTAATCTCCTATGGCCACATTGGGGCCAGTGTCCTGAGAAGACCCTCCATCAAGGGCATCTGCAAAGCCTTGTCCACATGTGGCTCCCACCTGTCTGTGGTTTCTCTGTACTATGGAGCCATTATTGCACTCTACTTTGTCCCCTCATCCAATAACTCTAGTGACGAGGATGTCATTGTGTCTGTGTTTTACACTCTGGTCACCCCCATGCTGAATCCCTTCATCTACACTCTGAGGAATCGAGATATCAAAGGGGCTCTGAGAATTATTCTCAGCAGAGGCGCGTTGTCAGCGTGATGGGCATTGTTTCTTGTTAACTGTAAATGAGACCTCAGTCCTGCACAGGAATCCTTTCCTCTCTGAACTGGTGCTTTTAGTGAATCTTGATATGGCACTCATTGTCTTCTGCCTGTGTTTCACCTTGGATATAGTTTTCCTCTGTGTTTGATTGTCTTGGTCCTGAGAATTTTGGGATTTTTATTAGTGTATTATAGTTATACATAATATTGGGGTTTAATTTGACATAATTCTGGAAGCATGGAATATAATTTGCTCCATTTTAGGTCTCAGCACTTCCTCTTCTCTCCCCTCCCCCTCCCGCTCTTGCCCTCCTTTTATTCTACTGTTTTTTTCTTCCATTTATTCATTGTTTCTTTTCCTTTCTTCCTTTTTTTTGGGTATCAGGCATTAAACTTAGGAGCACTCGACCACTGAGCCACATCCCCAGCCCTACTTTTGTATTATATTTAGAGACAGGGTCTACACTGAGTTGTTTACTGCCTCGGTTCTTGCTGAGGCTGCCTTTGAACTCGTGATCCTCCTGTCTCAGCCTCCCTAGCCGCTGGGATTACAGGCGTGTGCCACCATGCCCGGGTCTTCCTTTTAAAAATTAATTAATTATTTTTTTTTGTTTTTGGATATACATGACTGTAGGGTGTATTTTGACATATTATACATACATGGGGTGCAACCCATTACAATTCTGATCCCGTTCTCGTGGATGAACATGATGTGGAGTTACACAGGTCGTGCATTCATCATGAGTATATAAAAGTTACGTCGGATTCGTTCTACTGTCTTTCCTATTTCCATCCCCACTCCCTTCCCTTCATTCCCCTTTGTCTAATACACTGAACTTCTGTTTTTCTCCTCCTTACGGTCCCTTGTTAGGGGTTAGCAACCACATACCAGAGAGGACATTTGACCTTTGGTTTCTTGGGACTGACTTCTTTGACTTTGTTTCCATAATTGTTGCTTTAGAGATATACATAAAGGTGAAATCGACTTTGCTATATTCACGTAGGTACATAGTGTACATAATTTGGTCAATTGCATTTCACTGTTCCTCCATTTTCCCGTCCCTCATCTCTCCTGCTCTGTCCCTGTCTATTCCCCATTGATGTCCATTCTATTGTCATGATATTCCCCCATTTTTCCTGCTTATTCTACCTTCTGCAAATGAGAGAAAACATTTGGCTGTTGACTTTCTGAGTCTGGCTTATTTCACTTACTGATGTTCTCTAATTTCATCCATTTACCAACAAATGCCATAGTTTTATTCTTTTTGGCTGAGTAACACTCTGTTCTCTCTATATGCCACATTTTTTTTTTTTTTTTTTTTTTACCATTTGTCTGTTTTGTTTTGGGGCACCTGGACTTTTTCTATAGCTTGGCTATTGTAAATTGTGCTGCTCTAAACATTGATGTGCCTGTGTCACTATAATATTATGATTTTAATTCATTTGGACAAACACCAAGGAGTGGAATCACTGGTTTATACAGTGGTTTCATCTATAGTCTTTTGAGAAATGTCCATACTGCTTTCCAGAGTGGTTACATTAATTTACCATCCCATCAACAGTGCATGAGTGTACATTTTCCCTGCACATCCTTTCTAACTTATTATTTGTATTTGATAATTGACATTTTGACTGGAGTGAGATAAAATCTCAGTGTAGTTTTGGTTTGCATTTTCCTGATAACTTGAGATGTTAAACATTTTTTTCATATATTTGGTGACCAACCATTTGCATTTTTTTCTTTTGAGAAATATCTTTTTAGTTATTTTCCCCCATTTGTTAATTAGACTATTTGTTTCTTTTGGGTGTTACATTTTTTTTTGCATTCTGTATATAGTCTAGGTATTAATTTTCTGTTAGAGGAGTAAGCTGGCCAAGATTTTCTCCCATTTTGTAGGCTCTCTCTTAATGCTCTAAATTATTTCCTTTGCTGTGCAGAAGCCTTTGAATTCTTTTCCACTTATTTGTTCTTTTTTTTTTTTTTTAAGTTTCTTCAGCCTTAGGGGTCATGTTAAAGGAGTCAGTCCCTGCACCACTATGTTGGAATGTTGAGCCTCTTCACCTCTCCCCACCGCCTCCCTGTGCCCCCCCACCCCAGTAATTGTGAAGTTTCTTGTCTCATGTTTAAATACTTGATTCACTATGAGTTGATATTTTGTGAGTTAAATGTAAGGGATCTAATTTCATTTTCTACATATGTATATCCATTTTCTTGGGAAGTTTTTGAAAACATATCTGTGCTACTGTATTTTCCTATTTTTTTTTGTATTGATAAGGGTATTCCTGTTCATCAGAAAGTTAAAAAGTTTTAAAAATATTTAGGATTGAATCCGAGCTTAGACATGCAAGTGTTGGACCATCGAGCTATCCCTGAAGCTCATTTTATTTTTTATTTTGAGACTGTGTCTTATTAAATTACCCAGACTGGCTTCCAGCTTGGAATCTCTTGCCTCAGCATCCCAGAGATTGGGAGTTCAGTGTGCCCCACTCTGTCTGGCTCAAACAGTTTAAAGTTTAATGTAGTTGCAGATTTTACTCTTTTTTTTTTTTTTTTTGATACTGCAAGCTGCCAAAGTAAAGCTTATTCCTCTCTCAGAATAAAAAGAAATTTTCTTTTGATAGATTCACGATTTTTATTTTTGTTTTAACTGTATGATAAATTTTGAATTTACTTGCTGGTAAGCTTAATTAGGAAACCTGTTTTCCTTTGTAACTTTAAAAATACATTTATTTAATTGGCTCATAATATTTTGTGTATTTATGGGGTTTCATGTGGTGTTTTGATACATTGAGTAATGTAAAAATTAAGGTAAGCATAATTGCTTTCTCAATTGTATATTTTTTTGTGGTGAGAACATTCAAAATCTCTTTTTGTAATTTTTTTGTGTATATAGGACATTACCATTATCTTTAATTACCCCACTGACCAGACTTATTTCTTCCATCTAACTTTGTGCTTATTGATCAACTGTTCTGCATCCCTCCTTTCCTCATATTCTCCCTAGTTGTTTATAATTTTTTATTAATTGTCCACATTTTATTTTTGTTTTATTAATTATAACTAGGAATACAACTTTTTCCCCTCAAAATCGGTAGGCCTGGTCACAAGTAAAAATAAAATGGCTTTCCATAAAGAACCAGGACAATGGCCAACACAGAATGGACACGGGTCTTAAGTAACAAACAGAAGCTGAACTGTAAGTCCTATGAACATATTTCTCAAACCTCAGTGATATTTTTCCCATTTTACTGGAAATTATATTTTCATCTTTATAAAAATATTGAAATATACACACAAACAGCATAAATGTATGCAGTTGAAATATATATGTGGATACATAATGTTGTACTGTGCATATAATGTATATGTGTTCAAATGTATGTGATATATGAACATTAAAATTTAAGATAATAATATTAAAAATTTATTTAATTATCTCTAAGCTTAAATGATAGAAAGCTAACAATATCATTGAAAAATCTTATAAACTCTCCTCAATTGTATCTGCATTTCCTTTGAAGGTACCCAGTACCTTGACTATTTTAAATTATTCCTTTACACTTATTTGAATCTTAACACTTTGGTAGTAATCCCTCAATTGTGTCCATTGTAGAACTACACATGAAAGAAATTGGACTGTATTTATTCTACTACATTTTGCTTTTATTGTCTTCTATTGCCATATAAAATTCATCTATGTATTTTCAACTTCCACTCTGACAATATAATGTACTTATCTGCTTGATATTCAGTGACCACTCCTCTACCCTCAGCATTTTACTACTATGAACAACAGAGCTATAAAGTATTCTTTGCATTTTTTTCTTTTGAGAAATATCTTTTTAGTTATTTTCCCCCGTTTGTTAATTAGACTATTTGTTTCTTTTGGGTGTTACATTTTTTTTTGCATTCTGTATATAGTCTAGGTATTAATTTTCTGTTAGAGGATTGCATATGCAATACATTTTATAAGCTGTATGTTGATATAGTATGGTTTACATATGTGGAATCCCTCAAAAGTTCATGTGAGACAATGCAAGATGTTCAGAGGTGAAATGATTAGATTATGAGAACTATAACCTAACTGGTGGATTAACACACTTGAATGGATAGTTGGGTGGTAACTGGAGGCAGGTAGGATGTGGCTGGAGGAACATTCCTTGGGGGTATATATTTTTCCGTGGTGAGCAGAGCTCTCTCTCTGCTGTTTGATTGCCATGTCTGGAGTGGATCTGCTGTTCTGCCTTACTTTGGGCCCAGAGCTATGCATCATTGACCATTGACTGAACCTCTGAAATCATGAGTCAAATTAAACTTTTCCTTCACATAGTTCTTCCTGTCAGGTCTTTTGGTCAAAAGCTGACTAAAACATAAGAATCTCTGGATTATTGGGCATGTGTATATCCAATATAACTATCACTGCCAAACTCTTCTAAAAAATAGTTACACTAAGAAGCCAATCTGAAAAGGCTACTATATACTATTTGATTCCAACTATACGACATCCTCAAAAATGCAATAGTATAGAGATAGGAAAATAATCAGTGGTTGCTAAGGGTTTGTGGTAAGCTAGAGGGATGAGTAGGTACAGCAAAAGGGATTTTGGGGACAGAAAAATCATTTGTATAATGCTGTAATTTTTAAAATATGTCTCCATGTTTTGTTAAAACCAAAAATAAAAACCAAAGAAACCACAACTATACAAGAAACATTAACCCTAGTGTAAATTATGGACTTTCATTAATTATAATATATCAATATTGTGAAAACTATATTATAACAATGCAAGACTCTTAAGAACTGAAAAATACTATTAAGCTAGTGGACCTGACAGATATCTATAGAGTATTTCATCCTTTGACAATGGAATTCACTTTCTTCTCAGTGGCACATGAAACCTTCTTTAAAATGGATCATATTTTAGGGTGCAGGACAAATCTTAGCATATAAAAATACAATTAAAATGGAGCTATTGCTACAGGTACTTCTGAAATACA